CAACAAACCATCAGCCAGCCATTCAGGCTTGCCAGCATATTTAGATTTTAACTAGATGGTGTGAGTCAGTCGAGGGTAACTAGATCTGGAGTCGTCTGGCAGGCTGGCAGGCTGGCAGGATCCGAGTGTGGGCGGCTCTGGCACAAATTGACAACTTTTCGGGGAGTGGGTACCAGTTTAGAGAGGAGCAGACAAACAGAGAGAAAGCAATTGAAAATTATTAATTTCAATCAAAACTTTTGACATCGGTGCTTATCTATGCGTAGCATTATCATCCAACTTCTAAGCAATCTAAGCGCAAAGTTTTTCTAGTTTCTTGTTTTCCATTCCACTTGCCAGCACATGACCAAGCAGGACACAGGACCAACATCATTTATTTCACTAAAAGTCCGACAGCCAGCCAGAGAGTCCGCCGCTGGTCCATCAACGTGATGACGTCTTTGGGTTGTTGTTGGCCAAGTTCCTTGCCATTCGCTTGATACGAAACATTTCTATGCTTTCGGTCCCTGGCGAGTCTTTGATCGAATCATTTGATCATTGCCTTTGACAATAGCTCGGGGCAATCGATATTCTAAAAGCCGACTCTACTCATAGACTGAGCTGTACCTGCATGGCTTATCTGAGTTTTAAGCCCTTAAAGAGCTCTTGCTTGTGGTATGCATGTATGCCTGGGCACACACATGGATTGCTCTGAAATCTAATCAATCCGCAAGCTGTTTTGCTTGTGCACTGTGCATCTGCCTCTCACAGAGCTGCTTTGAAATTTCTCGTTCAAGCAGATGAACAGGCTATGGGCGGAATACGCCTTTAATCGTCTATTGTATCAGCAATACAAGTAAGTACTGTATGGGGTCAGAGATGCTGCTGCCCACTCACTGCAAGGTTATAGAATAGAATACATATTTTGTTCAGATGCTTCATATTCCCTGCTTGGAGTTCATCTATGTGTGCTCCTTGCAATGTATATATGGCGAAACAAAGCTGCAACTCGTAGACGTTCCTATGAACAAAGCCCCTTGAGGGGCATCCACCTGACTCATAACCAGAACAGCAATAGATTCCAAAGCTGCGCCAGATTAATTGAAAAGCTGACTTTCGAGGCGTAAGCTCGACTTAATCTCCGGCTATTCTGAAAACTAATTACTTGTAGTTAGTTATGCAACTGAAAGACATTCACCTATAGTTACGGCATATTAATGATATTTAAAATGGGTTGAGTTGCCTAGAAACAACTGCCTGAAACTTAGTTAAAAGGCAAATAGACTTTCACAGGAAGCTGAAATAAATCTAAATCGAATCGAACTTCATTCTTCTAAAGGCTATAATTTGGTTTTGAAAGTGAATACGAATGAATTAAAGATGCAATTGCTAATTACTAATTGCCTGTATACGATGAGTTCTTGCTTGAACTTCCACTGCAGCTGCAAAGGTGTTTTGCTTTGTGGCATTTCGCAGCTGGAGCTGTATGAAGAGTTTCAAATGAATTCGGAGTTTTGCCTTTAGTGAGAGAAGCAGCGCAGCTTGGCTGCCATATTAGGCGGGCTGAACACACTTGTTCAGTTGCAACACTATCAAAACTCATCCTGCTCAAGACGAAGGCCACTTCAAGATGCGAGAGTCTGTTGAAATTCGCTTAGCGCTTTGCTTGCACAGTTAGCCAGATTGTTTAGCTTAGCCAACAGGAGGTGGCCGCGAGTCGAGATGAGCTTGTTGCTATGCAAGCCAACGAAGTGCCACTACACACATACATGAGTTCGTGTGGCAATGGGCTTGTCCACTGCAACACGCTTCGCACGCCACCAAGAGCAATTGACACAACAAACAAGCGATGCGTCTATCTATCCACATAGCTCTTGGCACCTACTTGTCCACAAGCAGCCCAAATATGTGCTCAACCTTATCTGTATACCTATTGAGACCAGTTGGCTCTGACTCGATCGACGTGCACAACAGCTAAATAGATTCCTTTCGGCTTAAGCGTAAGAGCTTCAATAGCTTTTATGGAAATGGCTCTAATCTTGGCAAGCAAAAATAAGTTTTACTTTGGTTGCTGAGAAAAAGAAGGGAAATTACTTCAGTGGATCAATCAGTGGGGCATACTCTGCCCTTCAGTGTGCATGTGTGATGATATAAAAAAATAATTTATAAATGAAATAATTGCATTATAGATACTTTTCTCCTAGAAATGCCATGTGAAGAGCGTGGGCTAACGAGGCTGGAAGAAATTACCGCTGGAAAGTATCGACTTAAAAGCAAATAACAAAACTTGTGAAGAAGTCTCACTTAGGAGCTGATCTAGCTGCGAAAAGGGACGTCTGGTTAGGTCAGATATACATTTCAGATATTGCAGTAAGATAAACAAGGGCTCATCGAATTTTAGCTGAAGACTGGAGAGATTTGCTTAAGGCTTGACCAAGGCCTCATAAATTCTGGCTGAAAAATTTAAGACATAAAATTTAAGAAATTTCCATCATCGACACATTCCAAGAAAACTTAAAAACTTTTATGAAGTAATGATTAGAAAAGCTGTGCATTTTAAATTTACTTCTCGCCTATGAAATTTCATTTATTAATTTATTATTTTGCTTATAAATTAAGGTAAATAAATTTAAAAAAAAAGTTGGCATTTCTTGTGCAATTTTTATTATCATTATTTTCATAAATATCCATATACATATTCCCGCTTAACCCAGGCAAACGAGTCTCATTTTGTTTGCAACTGCAAAAGAAACGAACTTTTATAGATACTTATAGACGCTTAGATTTTGCCTCGACTTGGCTACTTTCTAGAAGAGTCTTTCTTTCTGGAAAGAGTCTTAGAAAGGCAAGTCAAGTCAAGGCAGCAATTCGAGCAAACAGATTTAAGAGTTGTTAATGCTAATCACAAGCTGTGCTTATGCAGATGAATAGAGGAAGCAAGCAATCAAATAGCTACAATTGTATTGATTAAATATATAATATTAATTAATATTAATATAATTAATATTTAAAGCATTTTTTCATATTTATTCATTCATTCTTTCCCAGCAAAGCGGTAAATTGAAGAACAATTTTATTTTCTACACTAACAATAATTAAAATTAAATATATTTTGCAGGGTATTCAACATTTGGCAGCGTGCTCGTTATTGCCGTGCAGCGAGTATCGAGGAAAGGAAATCAGAGCAAAGCGAACAGAAAAACAAAAACGATTCAAAATGCCATTAAACACTCTGTCCGACCGCTGCCGCATCTAGACGGGAGCAGATCAGCAGCTCAGAGCCAATCCGCAGATAAGTCACGTTGTCAACGAAAGCCAAACCAAATTAAAACTAAATATGTGAACGAACTGTGGCAGCAAAGTATCTTAACGACCTCTGGCTGACATAAATTGATAAGGTCGAGCTACGGTTTCATCAAATGTGCTCCAGCATGTCAACTCGCATACACACATAACTAAATATATTCTTATAATAGCAGAGCTGCTTAATACCCTCGCTGAAAGTATTCTAGCTCCAGCACGGCAATCGAGAGATTGCCTATATACGTCTTGGTGGCAAGTCTCGTGTTAGGGTATTAAGGCTTCGGCACGCTGAAGTCGATCGGGCTATTTAATCTATTTATTTAACGAATTAACGAAGCTATTACAAAATCATTAGTTCGATTTGTGCTTTTCTGCGAATTCGAGGAAAAATTTAAGCAAAAACCACCAACCGCATCGATGCGATTTATGCATACGTACATACATAAATAAATGTATGTATATACAAAATATTTGTGTGCTTGCATATTCACAATTAAGGCTTTAAATCCAAAAAAAATCAAGTACAGATACACGTACACTTATATACATACATACATGTATGTATGTATATATAGTAGTAGATAATCAATGTACTTTCCCCTGTTTTGCAACAGTTTCTGATTTACTTCATCTTGCTTTTCATGCACGACTGCTAATCTATCTACACTATTGTTTTCCTAGAGCCAATTTAATATTAGTAGGAAATTAATTAACAAAATTAGAGCACAAACATTAATTTCCGAGAAATATTAAAAAATTAGTTATTTTTAGATCAGGAAAACAATTTTAATGTGCAAATTGACGTTGCTCAAATACCCTAGAAATTTGTGAATTCGCATTTCAATAACTTGATTTGAAGATATCTTCCACAGGTTAAGAGTGAAATAAAAAAATATATTTATTAACAATGGAAAAATTATTAAATGGGAATATATAAATCGTATGTCTGAATGTCTGACTGTTAATAAATGGTGCTTAGAAGAGGTTCACAACTTCGAGTTATATTTGCCAACTCATTTAGCAGCTGATAGTTGACTTTTATCTCTTATAAATAGACTTAGACAGAATCATAATTATACCTTAATGTCATCAAATTATTTATATAATAAAGTACGTTTTAAGGATATAAATAAAACATTGATTTATTTTATTAGACTTAAACTTATGTAATTCTAAAAAAAACAGCAGGCTCAAATGTTTTTGCCAACAAATGCTGATCAAATTAACGCTGAATCGTTTTAATATACATACATATATTTGAACATTAATCCCAAATGTATTTTATTTTCTATTTCAGCTTAAATGTAAGTGCGTCCAGGGTATTTTGTGGTGCGTCAGACGCCTAAATGAGCGCCAGCTTGTGTTGGGTTGTTTATCATCAGTCGTTTCTGTATGATATCATTCCGAAGTATATGTACGTTTGTGTCTCAGATCTACATATAGACTGAGCTGTTGTCTGTCCACAGATGTATGTATGTGCGTGCTTACATAAGTGCGAACTGATGTATGGCGACAGAGCTTCCAATCGAACCTCGGACGAAGCTTTGCTGCTCTGTTTTGTTGATTTTCATCGCCCACTTTTCGATTTCAATTTCAAGTCGCGTTTCATTCTCATTGCGTTCGCTAAGCTTTTGTCTTGCTCTGTTTTTGTTGCTCTGGTGTTGTTAGTGTTGCTGTTGCTTGTCGTCTTTACCTTGTCTCAGCTTTAGTCGCAGCTCAGCCTCTGTCTACCCTATTCTCAGCGAGTTCACTTTAAGTTTGTCTCGCCTCGAGCTGTTCACAGTTTCAAATTAACATTCGATGCGAGCACATCAAGTTAGTAGTGAAATGATTTCAATACACACACCAAAATAATACATATAATAAAATTATCAAATATAATCGCAACGTGCATAGGCAGAAATAAAGATTTTATTTTATATTTTTTTTATTATTTTTTTGGTCACATCTTTTCGAATGTTTTGTAATTAATTTTTTTATGGTTAGATTATTAGTGCCGCTGACAGCTTGGGCAGCTCATTAGATCGTTCATTTCTCTGCTGCTAATTACCGATTTACTTCCTTTGTGCCTGTGTTTGTAATAAACGGGAATTTTTCGTGAATTGTAACACATTTGTGAGTCATAGCGCAGCTTCCGACAGCTCCGTTCGACTCCGTCAATTACTGTAATTGCAGCTTACTCACGTGCCTCGTTTTGTTCGCAATTTCTCTGCTTACAGCCAGCCATGAAGCTCCACTGTACCCTGCTGCCCCTGCTCCTGGGCCTTCTGACAATTGGTCAAAGCAATGCCGCTGCGGGCTCCGCGCATCTGCTCTGCTACTACGATGGCGCCAGCTTCATCAGAGAAGGTAAGAAAATGCTGCCAACTGAACTAGTAATGATGTGCTTTATCTATTCGCGATAAAAGACAGAGAGTTGAAAAACAAGCAGAGCCGCGTTGACATAAATGAAGTTAGAATTGCGCCAGAGAAAGGCTTTTTAATTAGTCTCTTGATTTGAATATAACAAAGACCGCAGACGTTTTCCACAAGAAAACAACCTTATCTACTGATTGCAGGGCAATACATATAGATGTGGCCATGTTCACATACTTTCCATTTCATAGGTCTCTATCTGCTAAGATGTGTGCGGACTTTGCACGCATCTCACACACTTTTATTCAATTAATTCAATTAAAGAGTTGAGCTAGCTGTCTCTGGGTCATCAATCAAACACACATTGCAGGTTACGAAAACTGGAAATTGCTAAAAATATTCCGTGCTTAACATACATACTTAGTATACAGCTCTTTTTAGTAATAGATCGAGTTTTGTTTCCAAGAACTAAAACATTTGATAAGTTGTTTGTATAGCCGGTTGGCAAGGCGAATCGGCGTCACAGCGCTGAGCTTCTAGAGGGCATCTGTCACTTCACTTTCAGCTGTCGAGAGGTTATCAGCGATTTGGGCAATATGAATTAAGGTTACCCACAGCCCCCTCGATACATATGTATATATATATATATATATATATATATATACATATATACATATATATATATATATTCGTTATATATGACGAATGAGCAATGCCCAAGATCTCGACTGAGTCTGTTTACTTTTTATAACAGTCAGCTAATTGACTGTGTGTTGACAAACAAAGTTGGGCAAAGAGCTGAAGTGAGGTCGGCCACAGACACCGACGGTCGCCACTTAAAAATATTAATGTCTACCAGGAACGTAGTTATTTTTTGTGCTTTGCTTTTTATTAAGTCTCATTTCTCAGATTTTTAAATAAGCAACGAGATTTGCATACACATTGGTTACGCGACCTTTTTACTGATTGTTTTTTTTTTTCCTCCCAGCTTACGACATTTTACGTAATATCTCTTCAATATTTATAAATTTCGAAGGCCCGTGTGGGTATTAAAATATGAGAGCTTCGCAGAATATTGTGTTATATAAATAATTTGCATTTTCGACTTGAGCCAATTGCAGATAGAAACTACAAGTTTAGACTAGATCGAGTTTTGGCAAATCGATAGAAATTGATAACAGGAAACGAACCAAGAATGCGAAGCTTCAGCTAACTGAATTCGCTTCCATTCAGCTTCAAGCTTCAACATGCATTAAAAAGAGATTATCAGCTCGTTGCCTGAATTACACTGTATTAATAATAAAGCCTTCGTAAGATCTTGAAGAGATTTTATTTACCTCTCAAGTCAGGTGTGTAAACTGAGTCAGCTGGCAGCAAACAAACTGGCGATTGTTGTTGACGCCGTGATTATTAATTGAAATTGAAGTCATGTGACACAATGTGGATGATGAGTCACTTTGTGGCAGTGTAGCCAAGTTTTGTTAATTGAATAATGTCCAAGGCAATTGGATTTGGGCTTGGCTTAGCATGCGTGACAGTCGCGCCCTCTCTCTCTAATCTATACTTGTGGCTGTCTCTGTTCCACCCACAGGCCTGTCCAAGCTGACTCTTAACGACCTGGAGCCGGCAATGCAGTTCTGCACCCACTTGATCTACGGCTATGCAGGCATCAATCCCAGCAGCAACAAGCTGGTCAGCACCAACGAGAAACTGGATCTGGATCTGGGCAGCAGCCTGTACCGCTCTGTGACTGGCCTGAAGAAGAAGTATCCGGCATTGAAGGTTCTTCTGAGCGTCGGCGGCGACAAGGATGTTACCGACGAGGAGAACTCCAAGTATCTGACTCTGCTGGAGAGCAGCAATGCTCGCATTCCATTTATTAACAGCGCCCACTCGTTGGTCAAGACCTACGGCTTTGACGGTCTCGACCTCGCCTGGCAGTTCCCAAAGAACAAGCCCAAGAAGGTGCACAGCGGCATTGGCTCGTTCTGGAAGGGTTTCAAGAAGATCTTCACCGGCGACTTCGTTGTCGACGAGAAGGCCGAGGAGCACAAGGAGGAGTTCACGGCTCTAGTGCGTGAGCTGAAAAACGCTTTCCGTCCGGACGGCTATCTGCTGGGCCTCAGCGTTCTGCCCAATGTCAACTCGTCACGTAAGCCAATTCGATTGATTGCGATGGCAACTCTGGCTAATGTCCTTGATTCCCTACAGTGTTCTATGATGTGCCCGCTCTGATCAACAATGTGGACTATGTCAATCTGCACGCCTATGACTTCCAGACACCTGTGCGCAACCCAGAAGTGGCTGACTTCCCCGCGCCCATCTACGAGCTGAACGAACGCAATCCCGAGCACAACATCAACTACCAGGTGCAGTACTGGCTCAACAACCATGCGCCCGCCTCCAAGATCAACGTTGGCATCCCAACGTACGGCCGCGTGTGGAAGATGACCAAGGACTCCGGCCTGACTGGCCTGCCGCCCGTAGCCGAAGCCGATAATGTCGGCCCCGCTGGCATCCAAACGCAGACTGCCGGCTTCTACAGCTGGCCCGAGGTGTGCGCCAAGCTACCCAACCAGGCCAACCAGCATCTGAAGGGCGCCGACGGACCACTCCGCAAGGTGGGCGATCCCACCAAGCGCTTTGGCAGCTACGCTTACCGCTCAGCCGATGACAAGGGTGAGAATGGTCTCTGGGTTGGCTACGAGGATCCCGACACAGCTGCCATCAAGGCCGCCTACGTTAAAGGCAAGGGCTTGGGCGGCGTGGCCCTCGTCGACCTCAGCTTCGACGACTTCCGCGGCGGCTGCACCGGCAACGAAAAGTATCCCATTCTGCGTGCCATCAAGTATAAGCTATAGGCAGGCAACCCCACATCCCCCACCAAATATGTAATGCGTTTTTACGACTTTGAGTATACATGTTTTTATAACTAATCTGTCTAATCCCCAATAAATACAATCAATTGACACAAAGCGATTGAGATGTTCATTTGACCAGCGTGCATGATACGTCTCTAGGCTAGATGAAAGCACTTAGCATTCAAGTGGCTGTTGCTGATGCTGGATTGAATGGGCGGCAACTCGCATTGCATATGAAATAGATTCGATAAAAAGCGATTACATTGTGTGACAAAATGCAGAGAGAGGGTGGGAGGGAAGGTGCGTTTGCTCGTTGTATAATGTATCCAATCATTGTGCTGAGTGTGACCCTAGGAACTTGTTCCATTTGCCGTGGCTGTGACTTCATTTCTGCATTTCTTCCGGCGATTGTGTCAGCCTGCAGTTGTCGTTGATTGTTTTATGTGCGATATTTGTGTTGTGTTGGTGCTGCTGCTGCTGTTGTAGCTGCTGCCCGTGCCGGAAGAGCCACCTAGCAACAGCAGTAGCTGCAAAATCGTCCAATGTCTCATTCATCTTTTGTGCGGCGGTCACGCTGGGACCACTTGAACCGTTGCTGCTGCTGTTGCCGTTGCCGTTGCCGTTGCCGTTGCCGTTGCCGTTGCCGTTGTCGTTGCTGACAACCACGAGACGCGAACACTCCACTATTCCTATTCCTATTCCTATTTCTAGTCTCCACTCGCAACGCCCACACCAGCGCTCTCTGAATCACTTTATCATTTGCAAAATTGCAAAATGCAACCACAAAACCATAACACTGACGCATACAAAGTATATTTTAGAGTCCAGGACAGCATCGGGCAGCATACGCAGTGCAGTGCCCGGAAATATTGTCCGTCCGTATATATGGGCTAGCCCTGAACATGACTGGGTGCCGTTGATTTAGTCCTCAGTTCGAAGAACGGCTTGCATTTGGCAATGTTCCTGCTAGGGCAACACCAGTCACCCAGCCAGCCAGCCAGCCTGCCGGGCAGGCAGCACCCAATACCAAACAACAACAACAACAACAACAACATAAATCTTATGTCTGCGTGTTGAGCTAGCGACGGTAGCAGAGAGCCTAGCTGGCCCCCGGGGCCTGATGATACTGCTACTGTTCATGTTCCTGCTGCATGTTGACCAAAATGACGCTGGCAGACGACATTGCAGTTGTCATTGTTGTTGCTGCTGTTGTCACTCGTTTGCACGCATGCAATTAGTCAGACTGAAAATAGCAAGTTGCCGTGCAAAATGCCACGTCCCAGATCCATCTGCATCTCCAGCTCCAGCTCCATCTCTAGCTGCTCTTTGGGGACGGGTTGCCAACTTGTTAATTGCGCACCAGCCGATTTTGACGTGGCACAAGAGCATTGCTTATCAGTTTAAGTTGCCACGCCCGCCAGCCCGCCAGCCCGCCAACTCGCCAACCCGCCAACAATTATCGCAGCAATTTGAGCTCGCATTTAAGTTGAGGGCGGGAGGGGCTGGGGCGCCACGTCATCATGGAGTTGTCATCGTTGCTTTTGGCAGTCGCAGCACGCATGCTGATGATGTAGTCCAATTGCATGAAGTTCATAGCAATTACATTCGGCCCAAACAGCCATTGAGAGATTGCCAGATATACATATGAACACTTACACTGAATACTTACAGATACTTTCCCAATAGCCGGGCAACCCAGCAAATGGCCCACTAAGGTAGCACCATGGGTGCCTTTGCTGTGTCAGCACCTGAGGCACACAGAGAAAAAAACAGACAGGAAAAACACATAGACAACCCAAATGCAGACCCAAAGCCGTTACCAGTTAGGGATAAACATTTTATGACCAGGACACGTGCAGAGGACCAACGGAATTTGAACTAAGCCGCCAGCCGGCAGCCGCTATGCGAGCATATTTCAGCCTTGACACCGATTCTGAATGGTCAATAGGCGAACTATGAATGTATTCGCAGTCGTAAACGTAACATGTGGCATGACACCGATTCCGAATGGCCGGTCAATAGGCAAACTTAAATGTGCTAGCTGTTTGCAAACGTGACAAGCGGCCATGTGCAACACGCATATGTAAATTTGTCACTCTGAGCCAGAGATGCCGTCGTTCCCATTTCCTAAGTACAATCATCAAGTCTGAACTACACACTCTCTAAATCTAATTTAATACCTAATGGTTTTTGGCCTCCTTTAAAAGCGTGTAACCGATATGAACAGAGCCATATTAGCATCAGATGTTTCCATCTGTTTATACTCTATGCACATTGTCGTATCAATTAGACTTGACAACCTGGGGGCTTTAGGCACTCGAGTAAGCGTTCAATTAACGAAGTACGTGGGAGTAGCAATGCTTCAGAAATCCTTTCCAAGCACATACATGTATAAGATGATGTCGCATATTTCTATTAATCTACTAAATCAAGGTCAATAGGCCTGCGGAAAATATGATGGAATTATCTCTGTCCATTTACCCAGAACATCTCTGAGCTCAATCAGCTAAATTCTATTGCATGATCAACAATTGTGAATTGTCTGCAACTTGAAGTGAGACACAACTAGTTACTAGACATGATCTACAATCCTCCCTGGTACCAGTAGCCTCTAGGTCTGCAGCGTAGGGGTCGACAGGTGCGATCGATTTCAGTGCACAGGGTATCAAGAGTATATGACCTTTTAAGCTCTCTTCTTTCAGCTGAATGCTGCTTTTAACATTTGACGTGTTCTGTGCAGAAGTGTTAGATTTCACACAACTATACGTATACACATTCATAGCAGAACACGCTTAGCCATAGAGTTGCAAAAATTATGCTGCGCTAAGGTTTAACTTTGCTCAAAACAAAACAAAAAAGGGATTAATCAACGAAGACGAAATGCCCTTGCCGAACCTAAAGCTGCTATATAACAGAATTATTTCTGATTGATCGTTGCTGGAGTAGCTCTAAGATATTCATGACTTTGTGACCTTTTCATAGAAACGAACTCTGCAGGTATTTAGCCAAAAGGCATACAGAATGAGCATAAGATAATGCGACTTTTTATGTCAAAGCGTGCGAGGAGGTAGTTTATATAGAAGATATATCACTTGACTCCGTAATCCGACAACAACAAGAGTCGAATGAATCAAATTAGTCTATGAGCACGAAGGATAAAGCACAGTTAAGACTTTAAGGATTACCTAAATATGTGTTCAGAGTATATTTCAGTCGGATACTCCCGCAATGAGGCACTTTCACATGTGTTTTAAATGCCAGCGTGTCTGTGTGCGTCTGCGAGTGTGTGCGACTACTGCCCACGTGCACATTTTTACATTTGTAGTCCGTTGGCTTTGTTTACGACTCCTCGGGGGCCACTTGATTAGGAGTTGCTTGAGAGTTGTACGAACATATCTACGAGCGTTTCGTGAGTGTCCATGAGTGTTTCTGCCCGAAACTAGTTTGCCGCTTGCTGCTCTATTCATACACTTCAAAAACTTAACTGGAACTTTTTACGATTTCCTAAAAATCTTATGCCGTCAAAGTATTTGTCTGATGTGAAATACTGTTGACCCCAATAAAAATGTGTGTATGGATAAGCATATAATTAATTATATACATATTTATATATATTTATATATACGTATATATGTATAGATTTATAAGTACTATACTGCTTTTGGTGTTCTTTTCTACATTTCATGGAATACAAATTTTATTTAAATGCTTTTTACAGCTGCTATTACAAGTGTCCTTCGCATACTCTACAAATAGTAATGTGCTACTACTATATGCAGCATGTACGATTATACTACTATTACTACTACCTATTCTTCTTATACTGCTACTACAACATACGAATTCTATTTCTGCTACTACCTGCAACGAATGCTACTACTATTACAGGTACTACACTATGCTACTACTATTACAGATACTACTAATGCTACTACTATTAAAGGTACTACTAATGCTACTACTATTACAGATACTTCTAATGCTACTACTATTAAAGGTACTACTAATGCTACTACTATTACAGATACTACTAATGCTACTACTATTACAGGTACTACTAATGCTACTACTATTAAAGGTACTACTAATGCTACTACTATTACAGATACTACTAATGCTACTACTATTAGAGGTACTACAAATGCTACTACTATTACAGATACTACTAATGCTACTACTATTACAGGTACTACTAATGCTACTACTATTACAGGTACTACTAATGCTACTACTATTAAAGGTACTACTAATGCTACAACTACTACCAACCAGTGCTCTTATTACCACTACTACTACTAATACTTCAAATTCTACTACTACTACTAATACTCCCATTAATACTACAATAAAAGATACTACTACTACAACTCTTACTACTACTAATAATTATACTACAACTAATAATACTAGTAATAGTACTACAACTACAACAACTTCACATACATAAATTGCTAACAATTCTACTACTATTATCTAAATATACTAAAATAATATAAAATAAATAAATTAATACATAAATAAAAAAACAATAAATACTTTAATAAAATAAATAAATTAATACACAAATAAAATAAAATAAATACATAAATAAAATAAAATAAATACCTAAATAAAATAAATAAATTAATACATAAATAAAGTAAAATAAATACTAAAATCATTTGCAAAATAACTACAAAATCTGCTGCAAAATTTTTTTATTTTGCAACAGCTACAATTTCTAGCGAAAAACAATTATGTCAATAAAATACTTCAGTTTGTTCTGCTAACAATACAGCATTAGCAAAAGTACTCTGCGACCAAGCTTTTTTTTTAATTCTGTAAAGTTACTACAATTCTTGAAAATACTTCAGATACTTCTAGCAAAACTAATACTTCTTAGGAATACCATTAGCTAGACTAGTATATAAAATACTGTAACTTCTATTAGCATTATACTCTTATTGAAATAATATTTAAATTTTACTAGACATCTATAATATTTGCAAATATTCTAGTTATACTGTAGCTAAACTATTAATCGATTTGATATTAAAATAAGGTTTTGTGTACTTGAGAGATTGATTACTGCAGCCACTCTGCGTTATAGATATCTGTAAGCTGAGTGTATCTAA